TTATGCGCAAATATCAATCAAATAATCTTTAACGAAAAAATTATTGATCGTTTCCACAAAACTTCCACTATATCTATGTTGATACACTTCATCCCTTGAGCTTAATACCATACACTTGAACTAGTAAAAAGGGAATGGAAGAGTCAGTTTCGCTCGATGATTCTAATAACATATGCAATTTTCATTTATTAACTATAGAATTAAATTTAAGTTTTTAAGTAAATACTTCAGACATTTCAACAGATTTTATTTATTTTCCATTTTTTAGATTTTTTGTATTCAAAATTTTCTCACTTATTTTTTTAGCGCCAAAATTATTCACACAAATCAAAAAATTTTGTACACAAACCCAACTGTCATATTTCATGCGTTGCCAATTATTTTCAAACGTGATCCGTATCGTTTCAGCAAAGATGAATCAGATCATTGAGCGGATCATGTTTGCTGAAACACAGCTATTTTCTCATCACATTATTATTTGTTTCTTTTATTCTCTGATGCATTTGAAAATGTTTCTAAAATGCGAGAACAAAATAAAATTTCAAAAAAAAAGAGTCAATCTGTACAGCTATACCCCCGCGGCTGAAAAAATCCGTAATTCCTTCCAAACGTCTTTTTTATTTAGCCTACGAAAAGGTGAGCAACAGAAAGTGACGTCATTTGTTGGTCACATTTAATAAGTGATTTATTTTTGATCATTACTAACATTTTGAATTTTATAAGAGATTCAAGGAAAAAGTTTTAAAAATAAATTAAAAATATTAACTCTAGTTTATTTTTTTAATATACATATGTATGTATGTAGGTATGTATTAGCTTTAGAAAATGTATAAAGCATGTTTTGTTTATTTTAATTAATACAAATACATAAAAAATATAAATAATAAAATAAAAATTAATAAAAAAAAATTTTTTACCATTTATTTTTTTTGCTCTGTGAAAATAGAACAAAAACCATTGAATTCTGGAAGCGTTCCACTAAATGAAAAGGTGTGATCCGTTCCATAATCTATGGATATCAATTTGAAATAATTTTTAAAAACATATTTATATATACCTATATATGTACATGTATACAAATAATTTTATGAGACGTTTAGATTTACATACTTTTCAAGAAAACCCATCTGTATTTATCACAAATAAAAAATAATGCTGCTGAGTTCGTCGCATTAACTACTCTAACTAAGCCTACTAACTACCTACTACTAACGTACTAACTTAGCCTATACTGATTGTCTCTTAATTGAAAGTACGCAGTAGTTATTAGTAAATTGTAATGATACCGTTGAACTCAGTGAAATATTTATGTTATTTAATTATTAATAAGTAAATATAAGTAAACAAAATCATAATTTGGAGAAAAAAATAAATAATATCACAGCTTCCTTATTGCTTGTTTTCGTGTTGTTGTTGTTGTACGCAAGATTTATAAGGCAGATAACATGGAAAGAATTATACAAAGGTGTATAAATGCGTGAGATATTGGAATGAGAATGGATTGAAGAATGGGAAGGATTGAAGTTAGAGGAGTGGGCAGGAATAGAAAATCAACCAGGATCAAAGTGGAGAAACTTAACCAATGGGGCGATTGAACTTATGTATGTATGTCTACTGTCGACGGACATTTTATATCAAAAAAGAATGCTATCACGTTCTAACATAACAAATAATTTTTACACTTCATCATGTTTCGTTCTATCTAATATTTTCTCATAAACAATTAAGTACAGAAACATGTCTTTTTAAATATCTCTGCGATTTTCAATTACGATTGGAAAATAGTTTTTCTGGATCAAGTTTCTAATATGAAATCAAACTGATAGTTTGCATTTATTACTATTACTATATACATATATTATTATCAGCATTGTATTATGTCAATGCTGATATTTCAGATACATTTACAGTGAAAACGCTTCTAACATAACCCTTCAATTGGATGGACAATTTTTCTGAAAAAGTACTTGTTTTTATTATTATTTGAAGCACATCAATCCTTTTAGCCGCATTCCCCGCTTCAAAAAAATTGATTAACAATATGTGTCCGCTCAAGAGGGATTTAACTATTTTAATTTTAAAACAAAATAACTGATATCATCACTTTGTTGTAATTAATTTGATTAAACTTCAAGAGGAATACATCTTAATATACATATACAGTATTTGATATCAAAAGTGATACATTAAAAAGAATAAATTTTCTAAACGTTTTCATTAGCGTCTAGCTCCACTTTTCGTTTGCATGCATTTCTTTTTAAACGTTTTCCACATCAGAAAGTGTGTTTTTATAGATGCTGATTCGAAATATTAATCATACAGATTTTTTTCTCATTTTAA